GAACAAGAAGTGGATTGAAATAAATTATAACACAGCGATGTTGTCAGTGGTTGATTCTGGTAATAGATGGCACTTTGTGCTGCTGCCTTATTTCCATAAGCTAAAATGATTATTGGTGTTTAATGACCACACCCTGTAAATGTTAGATTAAACTTCTATCTCATCGCCGCTTGTTCCTCTTTACGATTGAACATGGCCGCGGTATGGTGGCATAAATTAAATGTCACGCTGTATTAATATTGCGCGCCTAGAATGGCGACGCGAGGCGAAGCACCGCAACATTAAACAAAACGACATTTAACTACATAACGGCGTTGTGATAGTAAGCACACAGACCGCAACTCTCAACTCTTATCTCTCACTCACCGGTGAAAAGCGGAAGTTCAACACTGAAAGCTGCAAGAACAACGTCAAAACTATCCGAAGTATATTCACAGTGAACAGGTGTGGATGCATTGAAGTAAGTGCAGTTCCATAGTAGTACAGTCAATCAGTCTTTGGGGTCCTTCAAACATCATACATTAGCACCGGTCCTTGAACCGCCATGGACCTGTTGGTATCCGATAGCGTACGCATACTTTTGGATGATACCGTGATCGTACAGAAATATTTGTTGGAATAGTTGTTCATCAATCCGCCTTCATCCACGCGCCTCGTGTTCTGTAAATCCGTGGCACCCGTCATCATAAAAGTTAACCTCAATTTTTGCAGTCTTGTTTAGACTATAGATCTATGTATGCTGCATTTTGTTCAAAATTTTGTCTTGTAGATCCATGTAGACTTATTATATTAACTCTAACATATGTTACAAGTACACCCAATGTGTATGCATTTCAAGATTTATATTGTGTCGCTCAAGTTCATTTCGGCTTATGCGAGTCCAGATCACCGAGGACTTGATCTGACATGAACGCATCTCGTCAATAACGGCCGCTGCTGGAAAATAGTCAGGTTATTTGTTGAGGGCTATGAAGTACTTTCTTCCAAATAACCTCCTCAGTCTTTACAATGCCCAGATAAGACCTAGCCTCGAGCAATGCTCACATGCTTAGGGTGATGCCACCTGACTCCATTTTCAAGCTCAATGTTGTTCAGAGTAGGGCTATCCGACTGATCGATGATTCTTCTCTAACGGACAGCTTCGGAACCCTGTCGCACCGACGGGCCGTCGGTGATCTGGCTCTCTTCTACCGTTATGTTAACGGGTTTTGCTACTTAGATCTCCCCTTCATGATGGCACCGCGCGCTGTGTCTGCCAGACAGACCATCCTGATGAAGCTTTTTCCAGGTCTAGTAACCTTAGGCAGTTCAAAAATCGGATTAACAAAGTTTCTCTTAGCAGCTACGGTGCTCTGGTATTTAGGGCTATGCGACTGATTAGGTATAAAAAAATACAGGTCATTTAACTATTGTGGCGTCATAATTTGTCATAATGTCTTTTTGATGTGATCCTTTTGTAGCTTATGCCCCCATGATTCCCTGTTAGTGAAAATTGAGTTTGGTTAGCACACATTTTAGACTCACAAGGGGTAAACTGAGCCCTTGCCTGACTCGTTATCAACTGCTGCACTGAACATAAGAATGACGTCATCAACGTTAGGATAGGGCGTAACTTGAAATGTGAACGGGAAAGTAGGTCACTCTTTTATTTAAACAAAGTTACATGTTATTAAATATATATAAACGGTAGAGAGTATTTTATGGCACTTCAGGAGATCTCATCTGATTACTTAAATGCAAGGCAGTCCTAAAGAACTGGTGTGCAAAGGTACTGGAACTAATATTTAATACAAATATTACTGCTACCAAGCTTCTAATTACATGTTGCATGTACCTGAGCCGAGGTCCATGGACTCTTTAAATAATATATATATATATATATATATATATAACAACAAGTGGGAAAATAATGGGCAAAATCCGCAAAAAGGAGGAAAGTGGATTCGAGCAGAAAATAGGATAGGTAACCCGAGCGATACGTATTTCTGCTGGTTGGCTTCATGAGGCCCGAAATGAATGCACATATGAAACTACAAAAGTAGATACACATGCCCACACATCCGGATACGGGTGTAACCTGAGGAAACGAAGTTGGAGGAAAAAAAAACGACACACGAAGTCCACAACAAGAGCCAACCTACACATTGTAGTATAAAATGGCCTGATGAAGCCAACCAGCAGAAATACGTATCGCTCGGGTTACCTATCCTATTTTCTGCTCGAATCCACGTTCCTCCTTTTTGCGGATTTTGCCCATTATTTTCCCACTTGTTGTTATATACCTTTCTCCGCATGATCATATTCTCTTTATATATATATATATATAATATTAAATAAATATCGATTCCTTGACTCATTTCATTCCGATTCTCATACCCGTTTTTCGATATCAATCGTTCAGCATTTCGATTCGCTCTAACCGTCGACGTCGATATTAACAACTAATCCGACTACCCATCGATTAGATTCCACGAACAGCACAAGAGAGCAAAAAATATAAAAAAAGAAAAGACCCGACCCAAGAGAAAGCGCCAACCGACGAAATTGCTTTTAATAAAATTTCCCAACTCAGGGGAAAGGCACGTCACACGATCCAGATAGTGTTTCGTTTTAGTCCAAGAGATACTTCATCAACTGAGTGCCAAATAACATATTTTAATTTAGATCAACGGTTGGGTTACTTTTCTATTATAGGCAACGTGAATTAACATAATGAAGTCATAATGCTGCTGCTATTTATTTTCTTACTTAATTATGCATCATCCAAAAGATAAAATCCATTTATAGGATGAAATAATGAACGTACGTAATGAACAGATGACGCATTGCAGACTGATGAAATGAAATAACACAGAGAGAGGAAAATACGCAAGAAGTAAAGTAATAAATAAAATTTAATTTAAAGACAGTATAAGTTGACAAAAACAGATAAAAACATATTCTTTGAATTGCATGAGGTACAAACAGTATCTTATATAGTCGGTTAGGTTGTTTTCGACCAATACTTTGGTCTTTGGTGTTTCTATCTTAAGGTGTATTCTACTCAACACTGTTTTTTCAGAACAAAAACTTCCCACTAAAATTATTATTAAGGCAGTAACTAAATAATTCCCAATATGAATGAATGCCTCTTTTAAGACTTTTTAATTCTAGTTTATGCTATGAGTTCTCAATCGCAGGGTTTGGAGCTATCCTCGATACCCAGAAAAAAAAATGTAAAATGACAGATTTGCAGTGGAGCTTAGTATACGAGACACAGTGTATCGAATGTGTTGTGAAAGTAATGATGATGGGCATGAGATGGTATATTTCACATTATTCAAATATTTTTTTTGCTTCATAGAAACATGTCACAATAGCAAATTTTAATTAAACACTTAGCTAGTTTAGCAATCCAGTATTACTTTACTTCGCACCAGATTTTTGAGAGAATACTATGTATATGTATACACTTCCTCGCATCAAATTGTTTTCATGTATGAAACATGGTTATTTTCAAAAGGCAATCCAAAAATGTCTTGGCAAGATGAGTCAATTAGAAGTGTAAGGAGACCTTTGGGCTTTCAAGGAAAGCGATTCATTGTTGTACATGCAGGTTAGTTAGTTTAACCTAGGGACGCAGACATTGTGAATATGCAAAAGCGGAGTGCAGTTAATTGTACCGTTTATGTATATTTAATATCTAAACGATTATTTTTACATGACAATATGTATAATATAGTAAAAGTTACTATTAATCGGAAACGGAAAAATCGCAAATAATGTGAATTTACAAAATGTTTAATCTTTGGGTGTAAGATCCCAGGACATACCATGTATGTTCCAGATAACTGACATAACATACCGTTTCACGAAAGAGGAGTGCGTCTCTTACACAGAAATGCGCGGATAGTGTTGCCAATGCATAAAACATTAAAAGATCTCCCACCAGACCTGAAGTATCCTATATTATAAGAAATTATGTAGTTACGTATCTGGATTTACAATATTGCAAACTTCCAACATTCCCGCAAAGCACGTTCCACTGCCTGACAAATATCTTATTTGATTATTGTTTTTCACAAGTCTCCTTTTATCACGTTATTGTCTTCTCGGGTGCCTTGGTACATTTTTCTGCATCTGAAAAGCTTTCAACTTGCGTCAGAAGGATTTTAACGGCACCTCTCCTTATTTATAGCTATTTTAAACTCAATTTCACCCTTCTTTGTTAACTTTACATTGAGCACCGCAGCACCTATTTTCTAAATGTTTATCTGCTGAATGAATCTCCTAAGAGGATTAGCATTTTTGCTCTTGTCAGTTTCAATAAATATTGTATCCTTGGCCTACTGTGGTGTGTTGGTCGTGTCTTTGGTTTCCAAGGTACTCTGCCCGTTTTCGCAAAGATCTAAGGTTTTTTAACCCCATCGGAATGATTATTAGCTTTTTATATCTTTGCTACCTTAAAATCTCACTCCAACATCTAGAAGAGCTGTCTGGGTTCCAGGTTTTCGTGGATTATTATAGCAATTTCAGTCTCTGGTGGTGTAATTCACTGTTTAGGTGCAAGAACTACAGCACTTCGGTGGCATTAAGCCGTATAATACTACGAACGTCTTTTAAGCAGGCATTTGTTTCCCATATTAGTGCTTTGGTCACTTGGAAGCATGGCTCTGGCCATTATGCTTCCTTGTCAAGTTACATGACTATCATGATTTTCATGTGCTTCGTCGGGTGCTGCATTTATTAAATTTGCAGGGCAGTCTCAATTTTTATGAAAAACTTTGAGTTCCAGTTATTCGGCACTCCTTAGTTATCGTCCTGTCTTGGATGTGCAGTTATTTATCGGTCTGAACGTCCACGTCAAGTGTGAATTTCATGCTTTTCTCACTTTACGGATTCGAACCAGGGCTTTAGAGAGATCTTGTTCAAACAGCAACCAATATCTTAGAGATCTACATATATCTCCTTAATGTCCTTGTATTCTGGCTTAGGTAAACTATATCGTTTCACCTCGCTATTTAATACTTCAATGCCTCTAGATTATCAATATGGTCATATACGACTGGATTCTGCTTCTCCTTCAGAATCATCCCTTCAATCTCTTCTGTAAACAGTACTACAGCTTTTCTTTTTTGCCTGTTTCTGTGACATTCATCTTGTCCTACATTCGCTGTACGATGAGAACAGTGTAGACTGAAGAGGGACGGTATTGTTCCCATCTTTGCATCCCCTTCCGCACCTTCAATATTGTGCATCGCAATGTTTGTTTCTCCTTTTTTGTCATATCGCGCAGCAGTGTCCAGAGCTGAAGCCGAAGTTGAGCTGTTACGGTTTGTATCCATTTATTTGATTACCAGCGCTTCGTGTGCCAAAGAGCGGGACGAATGTAACCACAGTCCTACCTCAGTTTCTTATGGCCAGATATCCCTTAATCGGTCCCGGAATACACAGACGGACTTGCCCGAAGCAGCACAGGATGCCGATTTCTGCACCGATGGGACACTTCCTGGTCGGCACGAGTATCACATATCTTGAAATGTGACATTATGCCGATTTTTTTTGACATTATGCTGTTTTTTTTGACATCATGTTTTTTCGCCAAGACGTTGACTTAGCACTTAGTTGTACGTGTTGCGTAAACGTCATGAGGCTTGTTATCAATCTTTGGCTCTGATGCGATATAAAATCTGCTTCTGAGATGGCATTACTGGAGGTCTAAGCTGTAAGTTGTATGTGTTGATGATAATTACACTGGGTTCTGGTCTCAAATACACTTAATTGAGATTCAAAGCTAGAAAGTTGCGCATCCACTTTTTCTTATCCATTCAGGAAATTACATATATAAATTTGCTGAATTTCAAAAATAAGAGAGTTAAGAAATAATTATATTCACTATACACTGTCGAATTACAAGCCATATACATACTAACAGTAATTACACACAACGCGGGCACGGTGATGATTTCCCGTAATTCTCCTCAGTTTTTCGTAATTTATAACTTTGAACGTAACCTCTCTTCAGAAAGCACAACATATAAATAACCCGTCATATTCGGCATATTCAGTAATGATTTTATCACACAGCAAATACTAATGATTTTATACACATGCGGACCAATACACATAATCATCCAGATGCGATCTTGCTATTCAATCAACTTTCTTCTCAGAGATAAAAACTACAGACAAGGACCATTTGGCCTCACAAAACGTGTGCAACCAATAATGCGTGTAGTTTGGTTGAGTGATTCCCCCTTAGATGGACGTTCACAACGATCCTAGTCAGCAAACGTGGAATGACTGTTTGCGCCCTAAAAACTACCTAGTTTGCAAGATGACATCTTATAGGTTTTTTTGACGTTTTATAGGTTTTTTACATGACACCCATGCTGGACCCAAAGGAGCTGATCCCCACTTCAGCACCACAAGCACACATCGGCAGAGCAAGCTCGCAGTAGCTCTTCCAGTGGGTTGCGATGCTGAAACAATCCTCGCTTTCCTAGTCGTAGTTAGGTCCTCCATAGTCTGTTTTGTTCGGGTCAGCATACCGAGGCCGGCTGCCTCTGCCACGGCTCGAGGAACTTGCTCTACACTTTGACAGCTCCAGGTCCGGGATAGACGCTGTCAAAAAACCTATCGCGGAATGATTTTCGCCACCGGGATTGGTTATCCGATTTTAGTCAATCATCCCGCAGTAACCTCACATAGTCGCCTCTTATCACAGGCAAAGGATTCTAGTTTATTACCAGTAGGGGCAGAGGGTGGTAGATTCACACCAAAGCTGAACATTCGGCAGCCCAGCATACCACTTGTCAAATATAAACATGTTGAAAGGATGAGATTCCCGTATCGATTTTCATGCCAAGTTACATATCAAACTTCATATCGTGTTATGCGACGTTAATTCCGTACTAAAAAGTTCCATCCGCATCGTAGCGTACAACTTACATCGATAATGATAGCTGTATTCAAATAATAGAAAATGAGAGGCCCGAAATGAATGCACATATGAAACTACAAAAGTAGATACACATGCCCTCACATCCGGATACGGGTGTAACCTGAGGAAGCCAACCAGCAGAAAAAAAATACGTATCGCTCGGGTTACCTATCCTATTTTCTGTTAGAATCCACTTTCCTCCTTTTGCGGATTTTGCCCATTATTTTTCTACTTTTTGTTATATACCTTTCTCCGCATGATCATTTTCTCTTTGTAGATCCTTTAGGCTTGAAGTACTACAGCAAGTGGCTATAACCAGCCGCGTGGTTGTGTCTCGTTGAAAATTCGAGGTCTTCTAGGTATTTTATACTACAATGTGTAGGTTGGCCCTTGTTGTGGACTTCGTGTGTTGTTTTTTCCCTCTCCATCTTCGTTTCCTCAGGTTACACCCGTATCCGGATATGTGGGCATGTGTATCTACTTTGTATTTCGGGCCTGCTGAAGCCAACTAGCAGAAATACGTATCGCTCGGGTTACCTATCCTATTTTCTGATCGAATCCACTTTCCTACAATATTGACAGCTTAATCCACGTTGTAGAGTGTATCTTATATCGATGATTCAGATCATAGAAAATGTGGTGTATAGCGATACCGATAGTTCATGTCATATGATAGGTTCGTTCAGATTATCGAAAGTGCAATTACTAGAAATGCAATTATAACTGTTTTCAAGACCAGCATTACATGAAACTGGTTGGATTCAACTTACATTGCGCGTAATGCAATACGTTGTTTAGACCAAGTGAGTTGTTCTTGTTGCATTTCAGGTAGAACTAACTTTTTTTTTAGTTGAACTGTACTCTAACTGCATCTCGAAATATCAATTGAATATTTATTTTGTTGTTGTTAAGTTGTGCAGCGATTGAAATAAATATTGTAAGATATAGCCAAAAAATGAGATATCAGCGTTATTATACCAGAGTTATCTCAGTGCGCATTAAGATCCTTATCTCAGCTTTCGAAGGTGGAAATGAGCATCAATTCTGGTACTCTCTACACACGAACGCCTGGCCTTACTGCCTGATAAAATGACAATGTATTTTAAGCTGTAAATACCGATTTGAGCTTGACAAATGCTTACCGATACGGAAAAGTGTAATAGCTGCCTGGCTCATGATATTCTGGTTGCTGCTGCTCTTAGTTAAAAAGCGTAAATGAAATGGGTGGTGGAGGAGAATTAAACCGGCGGTTGCTGGCAGCAGCTTGGTTGGAGTCGGTGCCGCAATAGGGCCATAAAAGTCGCAGTTTCGGGTAGTCATTAGGGCTATTATCACCTGCTCGCAGGATCTGATACCATTCGATGCCATACAGCCACACACCAAACGTATATATGAGTACTATATACAAGGCTGTCGGCTCATTTTCACTTGGCCGCATTTTGTCAGATAAATTGTGGTGTGTACAACATACCTTCAATGCTGCATACAAGCCTTTGGCTTTGGGGGATATTGCATATTTATTTGTAGCCTGATACCTTCATAACTTCATTTACAAATGAACATACTAATACTCCTACTAAATCAAATTTTATGGAGAAAATAAATTGTTTTTGCCTAAGACTGAACGGGAATAAAGCTTAACCGTAAAAGAGACTGTATTGATATATGAAAAGTCAGCAAATCTGTATATTATGAAGATTAAAACGCGTTTGGTCACGTATAGACCACATTTGTCTCAAACATACACCATTCAGCACGTAATAGTGAGAATAGCCACGATTTAATCACTTGCATCATTATTGTATGAGGGATTCGGGCTAGAGCACAAATACGATGAATGAGATGGCGTTTTTAAGGTCATGCATCTAATTAATATAGTCGATTTCTTGCAAGATATCTCGCCAGCTAGATAACAATTATACGATTTGAGTAAGATGGGCCCTAATTTCTATATCGAATTAAGATATTACATAAATCACTTGGTCTAGCTAAAAAAACTTATTTTTCCATTTGAGAACATGCACAAAGTTTGTGACTATGGGCACAAAATCCCCCAATAAAGAAAACGCATTACTCGAAGCATGGGTCAAATCTGATACAATATCCAAACTGAGCAAGCACTGAGCATTTTATTGAATATAATAGTATCACTACTAACTTGTGAGAGATAATTAAAAAAGAAAGATAAGATTTTAAAAATTCGGCATGACGGTACAATGTTGTTGTAGATATAAAGATCTCCCGACTTATCCCCAATTGAGCACGTGTGGGATATGACCGTTTCTCCAGTACCAGGTCCATTGCAAATGAATGGTTTGCAGAACACGGAAGACCTATTGGCATGCGAAGTATTTACCGACGAATGAGAAGTTTTGGCTTGTTTTCATACCGGCCACACTCGGTCCTCCCTTTAACTAGAGAACACCGACGTAATCGCCTTGAGTAGTGCAGACAACGGTCACTCTGGGATCAGGAATGGAACAGTATTGTCTTTAGTGACGAGTCTCGATTTTGTTTAGGCATGCACGATGGTCGTGCCAGGGTTAGAAGGCGACGTGGTGAAAGGAGGAATCCACAGTTTTTTGTTGAAAGACATGTTCATCACACTGTTGGAGTTATGGTTTGGGGTGCTATAGCTTATGGTTCCAGGTCACCTTTAATCTTCATCAGAGGTAAAATGAACGCGCAGCGTTATACCCACGAAGTTCTAGAACCCCATCTTTTACCCTATCTTGACACCCTGGCAGATCCAACCTTCCAACAAGATAATGCCCGACCACATGTTGCAAGAGTCACAATAGACTTCTTTCAACATAATGATGTCACATTGTTACCATGGCCACCGAGATCTCCCGACTTATCCCCAATTGAGCACGTGTGGGATATGATGGGTAGGAGATTGCTCAATTTGCAACGTCCTCCTCAGACTCTAGAAGCACTTCGAGAGGAGTTGGTGGTTGCCTGGAATGAGATACCACAGGAGGACATTGACCACCTCATCAGAAGCATGCCTAGGCACGTTGGAGAATGCGTAGCACATCAGGGTGCATCCACACATTATTAAAGGTCAAAGGCCTTTAAATCAGTGCAATCATTTTGAAATTTTTATCATTTACTTATTATGCTTCATTAAGTACTTATACAAAATTTTATTAAAATAAAACCATTTAAACTGGGTGTTCGGATTTATATGTCACTTAGTATATATTTGCTATTATGGAATTATACCGTGATAAAATGTTGAAGGCGGAATGCGCCGTACTTTTTTGTAAAGGTTTTTTGTCATATCAGGATCCAAACAATATGTACATGTTTACTTAATATTTAGTGATTTTTCTGTTGGTTCCATTAGTTTCATTGTTGTTTCATTGCATTATCATGCCCAGAGTTCGCAGATGAGCC